TTTCCTTTGGCACTTGGGAGCCAGGCTTTGCTGCCAGACATTTATGTCTGCAATTGCAGGACCTGTGTTAAGAGCTTTTTGGCCCACTGCATAGATGCATGGATATTCTGCTGCCTGGGGCTATTTCCTGACTTGCATGTTTTTTTCTTGCCAGCAGCCTACAATATGACATCCTGGGAGGGTACAGACAACTCCTCCTGCATCCTAAAGAAACCAAAGTGTTACAGCTTGGGGGAAAACCTGATGACAAGGCAGACAGCAAGGGAGAAACACAGAAAGGAAAAGGAGCTAACATATGCCAAGAGCCTGAGGAAGAGGAGATCTTTTGTGAAAACCAATTACACTTCACAGGTCACTTTTCCCTTGGCTTTGCCAGGCTCTCTGCAGAGCTGCTGCTCTTGGCCACTCCCATCACCACTCCTTGCTCAGCCCCCAGCTTCACACTCCTCAGAGAACATCAAGAAGGATGCAGAGCTGGGACTTCCTGCTGCCATCCAGGCCCAGAGAGAGACTGCTAGCACAAACCCATCCTCTGACCTGATGGAAATGGAGCCTGACACCATGGAAACAAAATCAGTGACTGACTCAGTGGTTTCTTCGATTTCAGTTGTTCGCCTGCAAGTTGACCAGCACAGGGAAGAGAGTGCAGGTGTTGCCATACATGTGGATGGTGGCCTCCAACCTGCACATGCTGTACATCCACCTTCCCTGTCCCTGGATGACACTGTGCCCCTTCCTGGGGGACAAAGCAGAGCTGCCCAGGAAAGTTCCTCCATGAAGACAAACACTGGGTGGCCAAACGAGGAGAGCTGTGTGGCCACCAGAGGCTGGCTGGCCCAAGTGGCACTGGAGGAGGTGGGTGAGGCAATGGCAGCCCAGCACAAAGCTGGCGATGTACTCCCATCCCTGGACCAAGAGGTGACCTGCCCTGCTAATGAACACACACTGCTGCCATCATCTCATGGCCCCAGTGTGGCCTCTGCCCATGAGGTGGCCCAGGACCAGGAACTGCTCCCCACTGCTGGAAGGCAAGCAGCATGTGAGAAGCCTGTCCTGGCTCCCTGTGAAGAAAGAAAAGCTAATCATGACAGCTGTGCTGAAAACAGCAGTGACAGTGCCTTGTCACAGGCAAAAAGCAGACAAGTGATAAACAAGGAGGCCTTACGGAAAGCACACAATAAAAATCATGTGGGTTTTCCAGATGCAACCCAGCTCTTAACAGATTGCAGCAGCACTTCTGGAGTTATAACTCGCCTCTCTTGGCTCTCTCTCGGGATGAGGACAGACCTCGTATCAGCCTGCCCATCTCGGGAAAGGGTAGATATCCCACTGGAGCTTTTGGCCTCTCAGAAGACCAGCGGGTGCCTGGGGGATGATGCTGTCAGAAGGGAGATGCAAACATCCCCAGATGGACCACCCTTTGAGAAAGAGTTGGTAAGCAGCCAGGGGCTGGATGAACAAGAGCCCAGAAAAAATGCAGGAAATGTGGCTCACAAAGAGCCAGGGCCTGTTCAGACTCCTCTTCCCAGAGAACAGGTTACTGAGGTGGGGAAAGACTCTCATCTGACTCCATCTCTAGGGCTTTCCATCTCCTCAGACCCAATTCCCTTGGGCTCACTGGGGAAAAGAGCAGGAGACCATGGGGCTTCAAAACACTCCTTCCTCTGCTTTAACCACAAGAAGGATGAGCAGGCCCCTTCTGAGCCCATCATGACCAGGTCCTTGGGTTTTTCCACAATGAAGAAGACGTCTCCACCACAGCTTGGGATGGACAAATGCAGCTGTCGGCTGTCCTATATCAGCTGCTTCCATAGGCCTGATGACAAGGGGGAACGTGAAACCACCATCCCCATGTGCAGTGTTTTTCTGGGGCCCCTCACGACCCCACCATCCAGCAGCCGCAGTCTTCCTGGGACCCCTGTGGGCAGTTACCCAGTCTCCATTGCTAGGGATGTGGCATGGTGGGACCCTCACGTCCAAGCCCTCAGCCAGCTGAAGGACCAAGCACGGATGAGCCCTGCAGATTTCTCCTGCTTCCTAGCCTACACCACAGAGCTTCAGGAGGTTGTGGGGAAGCTCTGCAGGAACCAGGCAACCCACCTGCAAGATCAATGTGCAGAGCAGGGCGCTGAAAGCAAAGGTGCCCTTGGCTTAGCCTCCCGGGACCTGCTGTCCAGTTGCCAGGAGCTCCTGAAAACAGAGCAGCCCCTCAAAGAGCTGCAGCGTGTGCTGAGGGTGACATTCGACCACCTGGTTCAGCTGGCAGTGGCCTGCTTCCAGGTGACGCACTGCCAGTTGTGCAGGCAGAGGCAGCAAGAGCTCGGGGCTGCGCTTGTGGACGTGGTGGGCACCTACCACCAGCTTGTGCAGGCTGTTCACCAGCAGCTTCGCAGGCAAGGCTGCCCGGATCTGGGTGCCAAGCTCCTCGCCCGCCAACACACAGCCCTTACAGCTGCCATGTTTTGTCTCCTGCAGCAGTTCAGCGTACCCCCATTGTTGTGATGGGGCTGTTTGGTGGCACACGGATGCACTGGGTGGCGAAGAGCCCAGCCATGTTCCCTCTGTCCACTACCAGGCTCTCCCCCACAGGATGTTTAGCCCCACAGCTTGAGAATGGTCACAGAAGTATGTGTCCATGTGTTTCGGCTTAGCTCCACCAAGAGCCACCCTGGCCAGGGGGGTGGTCATGGGGGAGGGCATACCGCCCTCCAGCCTAGCTTTGTGTAATTTTGCGTACACAATCCGTATGTAATATGCAAACTCATAGAGTACTTCAGTGGCTTATGTATCTTGCTTGGGGCTTGTCTCTCACCTCCCAAAGGCCTTGCAGGTGGCCAGTCTCAAGGTGTTGTCTTAGCTGCCTTCTGTTGCCTGTGGAGAAAGATGAGCCTTTTGGCCTGCCTCTCCTCCAGCTCCTTACTCTCCAGGCAGACTCTGAAGTAGCGACATCAAATCCCTCCCTGGCTCGACATGAAGGAATCCAGGCTGCTTTGTCCACCTTCTGTGGCTGAGGATGTGTCTGGACTTGTAATGGAAAACTCTCTGGGAACAAAGCTTTGCCGTATTTAACTGCTTTTTCTTGCAAAGGCTGAAGAGAGGGTTGTCCCAGGTGAGGAAGGCAACACCATATCCTGCTCTTTTGATATTTCTGTGTGTCAACCAGCTTTTCTGTTTCTGTTTGCTGATGCTTGAGAAATTCCCTGATTAACCCCCTCCCCCACTACTTACGGAGCTGTGTCTTCCAGAAGGAATGAGTAAGTCCTGAAACTGAAATGCCACCTTCACAGCTGTGGACATGACCCATTATGCTGGCCTCCCTAGGCGAGGTCAAGCCCCTTTTCCCAACCTTGTCAGTAGCTCTTCTTCCGTCGTGTGGTATATCCCTAGCTAGGTATGAGCTGTTTGCCCTTAAAGGTCATCTAGCTGTGCATCCCTAGTGAATCAGCATTCTAGTGCTGGAGGCATGACCTGGTGAAGAGGGCAGAGGCAGGTCCCTGATTGCTGGGATCTAACTTAGGGGCTTGTTTGGGAGCAGCTGGCTTTCTCTGAGGTATGCCTGCAGCAGGTGTGCTGTGTGATGAGCTGTCACTGCAGCAGGTCAGTTGCTCTAGCCTACCGAGTGTGCTCAGGATGGAGGGGTCTGCACCAGGCAGCAGAGGAGCATGGGCGGGCCACAAGAGATGGCCAGCTCTGCCCATGCACACTACATCTCCCCAGGCACCAGGGCAGCGTGGGGACAGGATTGTCCTGTGGCTCTGTAACATCTGAGGGAGGCCACCCCCTGCTTTTTGCTCATTCTTTAATGCTTCCAGAGGGACTAAAGGGCAAGTCCTTGCAGCTGAACCCTGGTGTGGAACAGGATGGAAGCTGGGGCAGAAGGGAGTGCTGCAGCACCCCTAAGAGACCTCCCTAACCAGGCAAGCAAACACCCACAGGAATTCAGCAACCTTTAGCAGCCTTACACAAAACTCCCTACAGCTGCTACTCTAACAGTGTGCCTACAGGCAGCAAGCTAGCTAACCAAGGGCAGTCTGCTTTCCTGGCTGCACAGGGACAGGATGGCCAAAGTACCTTCAGCCACTGGGGAGGGTAGCACTGCCAGGTGGTTTGGGTTAGCATATGCTGCTGCCTAGCAAACTCAGGGGCTCAATTAGAAAGTTGAAGTCTCTTACACTGAAGACCAAGTGCAGACCTCTAACTACACACCAACAGCTGATGAGGAGGGGGATGTGAAGGGTAGTAACTGGAAGAGCCTGTGGGACACCAAAAGAGCCCATAGGGCACAGCAAAGCAACAGGCACTGGCAAACACAAATTCAGCTTATATGGGGAGCAACACCCTGTGTCCACCAACAGCTTCTGTTGTGGCAGGCCCTACTGACACAGTCTCATGGGCACTGAATTCCAGGTGTTGTAAAAGGCTCTTGATGCGAAGAAGAAATGAAAACACATAAGCATATGAGATAGTAATTTACCTCAGAAGACCTTCAAGTCCTTCCACTGGTGGTTAGACATAGTCATTGACCATGAGGTTTGTTTTTTTTTTTTCTAGCGACAATGGCTGAGGTAACATAGCAACTTGGATGCGTCAAAAATGCTTTCTGCTGTGGCCATGAAATACATACTGACACAGTCTCATGGGCACTGAATTCCAGGTGTTGTAAAAGGCTCTTGATGCGAAGAAGAAATGAAAACACATAAGCATATGAGATAGTAATTTACCTCAGAAGACCTTCAAGTCCTTCCACTGGTGGTTAGACATAGTCATTGACCATGAGGTTTGTTTTTTTTTTTTCCTAGCGACAATGGCTGAGGTAACATAGCAACTTGGATGCGTCAAAAATGCTTTCTGCTGTGGCCATGAAATACATCACTGCTCTTTGTGCAGGGCACAATCAAATCCCAGGTATCTTTCCAGCAGGAACATCACAGTTAGTGAAATTCCTGTGTCAGGGTGTGATGATGTACCATGCATGCATCAGTAACTATAAGGATGCAATGGGAGTTTAAGAGTAAACATTTTATTTTAGCTTAGATGCACAGGATTAGCTGTAGGCTTCAACAACCCACTAAGTCTTCAACTGGTTTAAAGCTGTTAGGACATGGCACACCTGGGAACTGTTTCTCCATTGGGGAATGACTTCCCATCTTGTGTTCCCCAATTGGAACAGCACTGTCCTTTTCCATGGGAAGGAATTTTCCCATGGAAAATTCCAGTGAGCTTTGCCATTCTAACTTCACCTGACTTACTGTTTAATCAAGATGAATGAAATACCTTAAAGCTCTCCTCCCTCTCCCAGAACAAGTGTAGATGCAAGAGTCAGAAACACCCTAACAAGCATCTGCAAAGAAGCAAAACTGAACTGTCAGTTTTTACTTGATCCCAGGGCTCCATCGGCTTTTGTTTTCTCTTCAAGGGGCAAAGTCATTTCCAGCATTGTACTGCTAAGGTAGAATGTGTCAGTCTTGACAAGGTCCTCAAGATTTAAGCAGAGCTGTTTTCTCTATGCACATTCATGCTGGTGCCTCTGCTTGAAATTGGGAGTTTGCCTCTCTTGTCTGCACAGCTCCTTAACATCACAAAATAAACAGTTTTCTTGTGCATTGTCATGCTTAGGTATTTCCACTTATTTCACTGCATCTGGTAGCACATAGCCTTTTCCAGAAGAAACTCCAGCTTTCAAGGCTGCTGGCCAGCTTCGGGTCTCATAGTAAGTTGATAAGACATCAAAGACTGTCAGGAACAGAGAGATGTACCATGCTGTGATACTGGTATCAATAGCAAGCTCTGTAATACACACCCCACTGGCTGCAAAACATCAGGAAATTATAATAGCTGATGCCAGAGAATGTTAGCATGGGGTTTGCATTCCCTCTCATTTAAAGTCTGATGAGCAAGTGTGTGAGGCGGCTCATCTAGGAGTAGATGACTATTTTTAAGATGACCTTGGTGAGCTCTGGCTAGGAAAAGGAGAGGCTGTGTCAACTAAAGCAAGGTGCCCCCAGTCACCATTTTGACTAATCTGTACTGCCCATCTGTGCTGCTGCTGACAGTACACCCATGGTGGCTTATACCTACTGTGCTTCCACCATCGCTTCTCAGATGTTGTGTCTCCACATCAGGGCTCCCTTGGGACACACAGGGGTCTCTAGCAGCTAGGCTGGGTGCTTTGCAGAGCCCTCTGCTACCTCCTCTGCCTTGTGCTGACAGAGGTGGAACAAAGTCCTTATGCCAGCGGTAAGAACTTACTAGAGTTAGCCTAGGACATGAGCCCCTCCATAGTCCGTAACAGGGAGGTGTTCACATTACAAAGCCACAGGCTGCCAGCAGAGGTGGAAGAGCATGAGCACATCCATTGATGTGACCAGGTGGCCCAGCCCATGGTCATGACATGGAGCCATCACGGTGGTACAGCACATAAACACCCCACCGTGGTGTTTTGAGCCTTGCCTTGATTGAGCCTGACGACAACTGTCCTTCTCCCTTGCCTGAGACTTTGTAGGACTTGTAGCAACAGCAGCCTCCTCACATCTCCCCACACTAAGTGTTCACTGCTTTGTGCAAAGCAAGAGTGATGCAAGTCCTGCTCCTCAGAATGGGCTGATGCAGAGCACACAAGACATTAAAATGGAGGCAGCAGAGATAAAACCTAGTAAGAGAAACCTCTGCTTCCAGTGTTCCCCCCCATTACTCAGCACCAGGCCTCCATTTTGAAAACTCTGCTGCTTGATAGCCTCCCCCCTCCTCCAGACCAGGCAAGTGACAGGACATGGCTCAGCCTCTCACCTTGATTAATTGCTAGTGTCTCCGAGTGGTAGTTCTTGGTGTTAAGAGTTTTCACCATGTACTCGCGAATGGGGAGGCGGGCTGTTTGCAAGGACTGCTCTTGTGCCCTTTGCAGAGTCAGCTTCTGCGAGGGAAACAAGAACAATGTGCACAAACTTGCACATGCATAGCATGCACGTCATTTTGGGTACAAGCAGCTATGAAGCTGAAAACTGTCCTGGGGCTCCTTTCACCCAGACTGCTAAAGTCTCTCTCAGCCTGGTGCTGGATCCAGGCAGAACCTTGAGGAAAAACGGATGGTGGTGCAGTAGTGATGTCTCAAATCAAGGCAGCAGCAGCACTGGGTGCTACCAATGGGATGTCTCTGCTCTCATGAGAGAATGGAGAGGCCAGCACCTTTGGGTTCCGACAGGCTACAACCCACCTTGTGAATACTTTCATCCACCAGGCCTCCGAGGACGTACACTTTATTTGGATCAATATCTTCAAGGACTAGAAACAAGATAAGCACTTGCTCACCACCATACAACAGTAAAATCCTGCACTACACCATTCCCCAGACAAGACCCCACTTCCATGAGAAAGCTGTGGCCAGAGTCACCCTTCACCCTGGAGCCTCAGACCATGAAGGAGGCTGAGGCTTCAGAGATAGAAGTGTCTGTCTGAACCTGCAGGCAGACTGAAAGGGGGAGATCAGACGTAGGCTGAAAGCTTGAAGTGCTGAGAGATACCATAGACTGCTCCCCTTTAACGGTTGTCTGTTCTGAGATGTGGCTCATCTGGTCAGTCTGATCCCAGTCTGCTCCGCAGACCCCTCCCCACTGTCAAGGTCACCTACTAAAACCTTCCCCCACCCTTACCTGATTCTTTATCAAAGTAAGGCACTTGCGTAAAACAAGAAAGGGATCTATGTCCCCAAGAAGATGTGGCCAGTTAGAAATGGAGGAAGAGGAAAAAATAAACACAGCAGCAAATTAACCAATAAAGGGAACGTTGTAGCTTCTGTCTTATTCCAGAAAAAGATGTAATTTAGACTGTACTCAAAACTGCCACAGCATCTCCACTTTGCCACTTTGTAGTATTACAAAATACAGGTTTTAAGTCTGCTGCAGATCTCACACAGCCCTGACTCAAAACCTCACTCCCTGTCAAAACAGACTGAGATATGAATAGATTTAGCATCAGACCTAAGTACACAGTATATCTCATGCAATTTGAGAGAGTGAATGCTTGGAATTGAATCATCTGAAGTATGAAATAGTCTCAAAAAGAAAAGCTTAAAAAATCATCCTTTTGCCCTAGTTTCCCTGTGCCTAAAGCAAGTAAAATATTTACCGTTCTCAGAGTCAGGAGTGAGATAAACAATTGCATCTAAAGGAAACAGGTCCAAGTAACTTTCTTGAGTTGTATCCATCTGAAAAATGCAAAACAGGAAGAGAACAAGCCCATTAGCCCAAATTCCGTCTATCAGAGCAAACCCCACTCTGAGACACAGAAATATACCAGAACTGACACTACCGCCTTACATGTTTAAACTCCTACAGCTAGAGTATTTTTTTTAATTTGGAAAATGTTTCTGTATGGGCACTGAACAATACATATCTCAAAATCCATTAAATTATCTTCTCATCAAAATCCCTAGACATGGTTTGAAGAAGGGAGCTCAGCAATGATTACCTAATTTTAAATGAGATTCTAATTCTTGAGAGATTGAGGAATTTCCACTTCAGGTGGTTTTCTCCCCTCACTGTTACCAGGTGCAGTCCCACATGCACTGTAGAACACACAGCTCAACGTCACTGCCATAACCTGTATGGGTGGGTCTTGTGCTTGAGTCGCACCAAGCTTGGTACAAAAACTCAGGGCAGGAATGTGTGACCTGCCCAAAGCCTGACCAAGCTTATGTGTCTGCCTCTCCCCAGTATCACAGGTCTCTTTGCAGAAGTAGCATATGGAGAAGGAATTCTCCTCCTGCAGGCAGAAGGGACACAAGCTCTAACCAGAAGGCCTTGCACATCACCCCATTATCTCTCAGTTCTTGTCTCCTGCCAAAGGGCAAGAAGATCTGACCTTAACCACTGTCACTGAACTGCATTCCCACCATCCAAGCCCACCTCAGCCTGTCTTGGGTCAACACTGAGGGTGAGCACTGTGGTCACAGGGTGCTATGAGCCTTGAAAACACTGTGGTCAGAGACCCTTACCAAATAATTGGAGAAGCCGTCGTTCATGCGAAAACACTCCTCATAAATCAACGAGCCCACCACAAACTCCGTCAGACAGAGCCAAAATGGCTTCTCGGCTCGCCTGTTTGCCCCGTAGAGTCTCCTGATCTGAGAGGCGAGGCGGCTTGTTTCCTTCCAACAAATAACAAGCACAGTGACCTACAAGTGTAGGGGCAGGGGAGTAACATGGCTCCATTCAGGGCCTGCAGACATCCATCACGCCCATGTCACCAGCTGGTTGCTAAGACTCTGAAAAGGCCGTTCCTGGGGAGCACAGCTCAGCTGCCTCTGGGTCTCAAGGAAACCCAGTGAGCTGGGTGTGCAGCCAGCCAGTGCTGGAAACCAGGCACCCATGGGCAGGCCTGGGGGTGGAGAGACAGGCAGAGATGGGAAGGGCCAGCATTCTCCCAGAGGCTGAGCTCAGGAGAGCTGCTGTTTGTGCACCCTCACACATCCCAGCTCTAGCTGAGCTGGAGTTTCCCAACACAGCTAGAACAAACCAGTGACCTGCCCCAGCCACCTCCTCTCCCTTGGCCCTGTTTCAGAGGGCTCCCTTCTGCTCCCTCTCTGCAGCACCTCCCAGAAACAGCACAGGGCAGGACACTTTCTGGAGCGGAAGCATAGAGGGACAGAGGGATGAGAAAAGAAACCACCAGGCCATGTCAAGGCTATGATGGGGCATGTCCCCAGGATCTCAGAGAAGTTTCCACACCGTGGAGAGGGACTGCACTGGCAGACAGCGGCAGCCACCGGTGTAGAAGGGCGTAGCAGGCAAGGGCCCCCGTACCTTCTGCGTCATATAGTCAGCCACACCAAGGTCCACGCAGAGCCGAGGCCCTGACGCCCTAGCCTCCAGAAGGCGTTCCTTTGCGAGGGCAGCAGGGGCCCTCCTGCCGTCCCGGCTAGCAGCCCCTGGGAGAAAGAGCAGAAAGAGGGCAGCCTAGGCCCCGGCGAGGCCGCAGGGCCGCGACC